GATGATGTCACTTACACAACTGGAAGTCCAGATCCACCGTCAGGTATAGCACAGTTGGGTACGGGCTTACCACAACCTTGGCATGCATAACCAAGTCAATTGTGGAGTTCATCCACCGACTATCCGCAAGGATCCACGCACCTTCCCAAGTACTTGGTTAAGGGAATAATCCTCGACCTCATACCTCGCTCCAACACTAGCTAAGGACTTAGAGGAGACTCACCCAACCCAGTGGCCTATCTGAGCACCACTCTCCCAAATCCAGTGGCCTCCCTGAGCACCACTCTCATATATCAGTGGCCTATCCAAGCACCACTCTCAAGAGACTCTATGTGAGCTCTTCCAGTTCGAAAATATTTTTCCTCTCCTCAAGTCCTAGGCTAGACTCATGCCATAAGGCATCACATGCAATTATGCATCATACATCATACATGGTCTGCCCACCATCATGATCAACAATCATACACATGCCATAAGACATCACATGCAATTATGCATCATACATGGTCTACCCACCATCATGATCAATAAACATACTCATGCCATAAAGCATCACATGCAATAATGCATCATACATCATACATGGTCTACCACCATTATGATCAATAAACATAATCATATGGACATATACACATGTCATATCATATTCAAACATTCATAAGTATCATCACAAAGCATACATAAGAATCACCCCTCACCATACATCATATATCATACATACATGATCTAAAACTTCAACTTTAAACATGCATAAGCATCAATTCATTCATAAACATATTCACGCCCGGCTAAATAAAGAATAATTAAATATATTATTATTATTATTATTCTTCATAATATAATATTATTATATATTATTATTATAGTACAAGTATGAGATTGTATATTTGAGGATGACTTAAATGAATTAATTTGTACAAGTTATACTGACAACATACATATACATTTCGGTAGCTTACTCATCATAACTTCACAGTTAAGCGTGCTTGACCTGGAGTTGTATAAAGATGGGTGACCTTCTAGGATGTTTCCCAGAAATTGCGCAAGTACTATAGATGTAGCTGTTATGTATTTAATCTTAGGTAGCACAACTAGGGGTGGGTATATGGACTCGAGTCCGCGGACCGGTCCGTAAGTCCGCGGACTTCACGGATAACGGACTCAATTTTTTTAATCCGTATAATCATATGGACTTTTTAGGTCCGGCCCGTTAAGTCCGCGGATTTTGCGGATTTAATCCGCGAGCCCGCGGATTACCCGTTTAAATGTGGAACTTTAAATTTGTTTGGTTGTGTATTAAGACTTTTAAAGTTTTAAGGTAGTAAGGCTTTAATATTTGGTTAATAGTTGGTATGCTTGGACTTTAAATTTTAAAGGCATTGAGACTTAAATATTTCTATTAGAAATTTAGAATGTATAAACTTTGTTATTTAAGACTTTGGTTTATTATTTATATAATGTTTGATGTTACTATTAGAAGTATATTTATATCATTTTATATGTATTTTTTTTCCTCATGTTTTCATAGGTTAAATAAAGAAAAAGAAATTCAAAATCTCATTAAATGTGTCAATATTCATTAAAAAAATTTAGATTTAATTGGGCCCGCGGACTTATCCGTTTATCCGTGGGTTTCACGGGCCGGATACGGACTTGAAAATTTAAGTCCATTTATTTCGCGGACCGGATTTATCCGGCCCGTTAAAAATGCGGATTTCGCGGACCGGGCCTTAAACGGGCCGGACCGGTCCGCATACCCACCCCTAGCTGTTACATTAATAAATTTATTAAAATTAAAAAAATTATAATTTCTGACGAAAAATTCTGTCAGAAATTCCTGACGGAATTTTTTGACGGATATTTCTATAAGAAATTTCTGACAGATTTTTCGACGTCACTTTTTTCGACGGATTTAAATCCGTCGGTAATCCATCGAAAAAATGAAAATCTGTCTAAAATTTACCCTTTTCCGTCAAAAATTTCCGTCAGAAATTAGCATTTTTCTTGTAGTGCTTGTACCATCTTGAGGATTCTCCTTGATCATGGGTTATATTCGGGATGATTCGTGCTGGCTGCCACGAACAATTATCGCTTCTAAGTTCTGCATTCTCCCTCCTCAATATGGATAGTTCATGGGCATCCTTCTCTCGAAGTCTCCTTAATTCCAACATCTCTGCTTTGGCTGTTCTATTGCTGACAAAGGGTCTACTGGTTATGAATGATTTTCATATGATTCATCCATCCCTTTCACGTCTGTTTGATACTCCCGATGCCTAGGTTCTTGAGGCATCCCGAGGTTAGGCATAGTGGTGTCTTCTTGTTGACTCCTAGTAGCTACCATCTTCAACTTAAGGTCGAAAACCGTTTTGGTTTCGGCCCACGGTAGACGCCAAAATGTTCTTGCTAGAAACACTTATATTCTTCCTCCTATTGATCTGTCTTCAAGATTCCAAGTGCTGGCCAAGTCCTAATTCCAGGTAGTGGGGGAAGGTACCTGCAAAGGCACTCCAACAACCAAGTGAGTATTCGGTACAGAGCAATAAAGGCTATTGTAATAAATAATCATACTTATTTTTGTCCCATTATATGTGTATTTATAGTGACGTATTTGAACCTGATGGGCCTTCTATCTTAGGATGCGTGTAATTAAGGTTTGCAGTCCTTAGTTTAACCTTAATGTTGATTTGACGTGGCCTTTATTATTTAGTTATTTCTAATAACGTCTTGGGGTGCCGAATACCTCTTCGGTGGATCTCGTAGCCGATGGGGTATCCGGTTTATCTTTAAGCCGGGCACTGGCTGATGTTCTTTGGGACGTCTTGGTTTGTTTTGTCTAGGTTACCCCTTCGACCTGTGTTTGGGACAAGCAGGGGTGTCCGGTTTGGGTACTGTTTAGGTGGAGGTGGCTTTTGGCTAATCTTTGGCCGGCGCTGTGGCCGAGGGGTGTATTAGATTTTGGTTGCTCCAGCTAGTGTTGGGGCTGAAGGAGGTCTTCGGTTCTGGTAGTGGCCGAGTAGAGGTGGGCGTATGCCCTACATGTACACCTTCTATTGTACGCTTGATACTTGTAATACCTTAGACGATTATCAATCCATCAATACCATCATTTTGTTTACTCTATCTTGTATTTATTCGAATAATTCATATTAATCCTTGAAAGTTGTGAACACTATCATATTAATTCTTGAAATAAAAAAATATCAAATAATGCCTAAATTTAAATCCTTTTATATATATATATATATATATATATATCAAAATTAGTCGAATATTTATTTGGATTGAAAACTAATATGATTGTCAATATGCAACTTATTCTAATTATCTAATAACTAATGTGATTTAAAATTTTAGAAATGAAAGCATAGTTTTATTTTTATAAATTTATTTAACATGTTCTTAGTTTTAGAGGTTAATTAGGATGATAATTTGTTTCAATTTCAGAATGTAAAATGAACATTTACGCTATTTATTTATTAACTAATGTGATTTAAAAATTCAGAAATGAGAGCATAGTTTTATTTTCTGAAAATCTTTGTGTGCTCCAGCGCATCTGTCGCCTTTTAAGATTTACAAATCCATAGTCCACTGTGGCCGTCGCCATGTGCCGACAAGCTCGATTATCCAACAAACCACAATCTTGGTGTATTCGATATACGATATATAATAAATATAATTATATTTTCGGACAGTTTCAATCATGGATGTTCCCACAAACAAACCACTACCTTATTTGGATACATATAATATAATTATTATATTTTATGTGTACGATATTAGACGACTTATACAGTGGTTTTTTTATATTTTTTATTGCGTCACTCTTCTACGGACGCAAACAATATTAGACCCCTTCGTTCTCCACAATAGGCTTGTGTCATGACGTCTCTGCCACTGCTTCGATCTGGTTTGTTGTCTCCAATTTCTTTGCTTTATCTCATTTTTTAATTACGGGTCACAACAACCTCTTGAAAAGTCCCTTATTTCGTTAATTTTGTATTTTTTTCACTTTTTTTTTCCTGCTTAATCCGGAGAGATTACATGTTAATGGTGTTAAGTTTATACAGAACCTGGTATTGTAGGACTTTTCCTGAATTTGTTTTTAGTCTGAATTTTAGTATTCATTTTCTTTTTTCGTTTTTTTGGGAGAAATAATAGTTAGGTTTCACATTTTTTGAATATTGTTGTTGTTGAATGGGAAGCAGGGAGCTAGAACTAAGAATTAGGACTATTCCTGCTTTATTAGTCCATCTATCACTTCAACGTGGTGGTTTGTGGAAAGTTGGAAATAATACGAAGATGCAAGAGTTCCTGTTGTTGCATAACTACAGATTAAGTTTCCAAACTATATGGCATTTTCCCCCCCTTCTTTGGCCATCATATTGGGGGTTGTTGTTAATGGGACATGAATGGCTGAATGCACTTTCTCGACCCTATCCCCACTTACCCCAACAATCCATATGACCTGCTGGCTCACTTGTGATACATTCGTTTTCAATATGGTTTTAGATCTTCATTTAATCCATATTATTACATGTTTGAAATAGTCTATTTGGATACAAATTAGAAATATTCCTGAAAGTTTCTCTCTGGATTTTCTAGTAGAGAAGCTCTAAAAAACATTCTTAATTTGTATCCAAACATACTCATATTCCACATAGTTAAAAGATATAGCATATAGTTTTCTTTTAAGATTTTACTCGGTCAATTTTTCATATTACTACATTAAAGGGGTGATGATATAAAGGAAAAAAAATCTTCTGATTTGGTTATGATATAAAGGGGTGATGCTCAACAGGTTAAGGCTGGATAGTCGATTTGGGAAGCTGCATATTGCTGTTGGTTAATTGCTCAATGCATCAGTATTGTGCTGAACTATTGATAAATGTGCTGGGAATAAAGCACTGTATTACTGAACCCTTGCTTTCCTGAATCCTAAATTCTGATTTAGTTATTCAACAATTTGTCATGGATGAAATTCTGTGTCTGTCTGTACCTTAAAAATAATTGCTATTTTTCAAAGTATGACAACTTTAAGTCACTGGTGAGATATATAGGTTGTCATCACTGTAAGAGAAAAAAAATCTCATTTTTAATTTGAATCCAGATGATCTCCTGAGACCAATTAATTACTGAATTTTACTTATGATGCTGTAGAAAGGATGGAGGCAGAACCATCAATTCCCTCACATTCACTCCGGGATCAGATTTCTAAATTTACTACATTGGTCACTGAAGCATACAAAAGAAAGCCTATCCATTATTGGATTCTCCTTGTTCTTAGCATCATGGCAATGCTTGTGGCATTTCCTGCTTCCAGCATTCTGTCACGTGTTTATTATTCTAATGGTGGTCAGAGCAAGTGGATCATATCTTGGGTGGCTGTTGCTGGATGGCCTATAACGGCCTTAATATTGTTTCCTGCATACTTCATCAGTAAGACCTTTCCTACTCCTCTGAACATAAAACTGAGTCTATCATATATCATTTTGGGTTTTCTAAGTGCTGCTGACAACCTCATGTATGCTTATGCCTATGCTTATCTCCCTGCATCAACTGCCTCACTTGTGGCATCATCATCGCTTGTGTTTTCTGCACTTTTTGGATACTTCCTTGTGAAGAACGAAGTGAATGCTTCAATAATGAATTCTGTTTTTGTCATAACTGCTGCATTGACTATCATTGCCTTGGACTCAAGTTCAGACAGATATGCTAATATTAGTGACAGTGAATACATCATGGGATTTGTATGGGATGTTTTGGGATCTGCTCTTCATGGGCTTATTTTTGCTCTCTCGGAGCTGGTCTTTGTGAGGTTGCTTGGAAGAAGATCCTTCATTGTTGTTTTGGAACAGCAAGTCATGGTTTCTCTATTTGCATTTCTGTTCACCACTGTTGGGGTAATTGTGAGCGGTGATTTTCAAGGAATGGCCCATGAGGCTACAACCTTCAAAGGGGGTAGAGCTGCTTATTATCTTGTTCTTATTTGGGGTGTAATAACTTTCCAGTTGGGGGTTTTGGGGGCAACTGCCGTAATTTTCTTGGGTTCTACTGTACTAGCTGGTGTACTTAATGCAGTACGCACACCCGTAACAAGCATTGCTGCTGTCATCCTGCTAAATGACCCAATGAGTGGTTTCAAGATCCTCTCCCTAGTGATCACCTTTTGGGGATTCGGCTCATATATTTATGGCAGTTCTACGGGTGAGAAATCATCATAAGAAAATGTGACCATAGATTCCCGTTCTTAAGATTCCCTCTTCAGAAATTCTAAGGTGATTGTTGTAAGATATATGATTATATTTCCATGACAAAATATTGGGAATGTTATCAGTGGATAAATGACAAATATGGTTCTTTCTATTTAGGTTAAATCATAAATATGCTGCATGAGTGTGTATAGCAGTTTCAAATTAGTTCTTGAATGAAAGGAAATTAAGAAAAAAAAAACCTCTAAAAGTACCTTCCGTCATTTATGTTGGTCCCTAGGTGATACCTATTAAGTAATGTTGCTAAGAGCGCCGACCTGACACGTTAAGTGCCAAGTATCTAGTTGTCATGCTGCATGGGGTCCAAGTCACAAGGGTTTAAAAGAAAGTCAATATGGACTAAAGAGGGACGAAAAGGAAATTTTTCCTCTTTATTTTTCGGTTAAACCATCACCTAGTCCTCGAATGTGTATGACGGTTTCACTTTGTCTAAATGTGTTTAGTTGTTTCACTTTGATCGTTCTTCCATTCTTCCATTATCTTTCTCCCCTTCATTCTTTTATCTTCGGTCTCTTCCATTTTTCCTTTCTATCTCTCTCCCTCATCTCTTTTCTCTCTCAAACTTATCTTTTTCCCAGTTGTCTCCCCTGTCTATTCTCTTTTTCCTATCCCTCCTTGCTTTACTATTCTTTCTCTTCCCATCTTTCTTTCTCCCTTCTCCATTCATCCTCTCTCTCTTTTTCTTACTCTCTCTTCTCTTTCTCGACAGGAGCCTTATATGTTATTAACATCATTATAAAACTCTTATCATTAAATATAAGTATAATTAAGATTTCACGGTCGAGCTTTTTCGCACCCTTAGCGTACTTTCTCAGGTCCTGTTACTCTCTTAATCATAACTATATTAATAACAAGAATCTTAATGCTAATACTAATAACAATAAGGACCGTTCAAAAGGATCATTGATCAAATATATTTCTGATGCACAGGTTCCATTTCCATGGCAAGTGCAGAACATACTTTATATTTAATAATAGAGCAAAGTATTCTCTCACGGAAAGAAGTCTAAGACATAATCACAAGAATAGAGTTTTCAGGAAAGAGAGAAGTGTTTAGAAACTCATGATAATATAAAATAGAAGTTTTATTTATGGTTGAGGTTCTCTGCCCTTCAACATTACACAAACCTTGCTTATATAGAGGAGCCGAGCTACCGGACTTGAAATCCTCATGAAGCAATTTTAATACTATTATCGTCATGGCTGACGCTATTTCATACTTGTACAATGACTCATACACACAGCTCATACTGGCTTACAAACTAGTACAATGACAACTCATACTGGCTAAAGATGTCTGCCAATATGAACAAACTAGTACATACAGGGATAAGATTCCCTCTAACTCAATAATTTTACAAAAGATGTAAGGTCACATCTTATTAACACAAAACGATACATAGCTAGTTGCACTATGCTCTTATAAAGATAAGATTCCTTCACGTGATGGTCAGAAATTTCCATCAGTTAGTGCTTGAAGATAGGCTCATGACTTGGTGATAAGTTTGGATCTGAATAACTGGAATCCGAGGCTGAGCTGTAAACCCGAGATAAGGTTGGACTGTCAAGATGATATGCATTATCTTCATGCATAAGGTTTTGCCCACGTGTATCAACACTTTCAAGAATGAGTTGTTCTACTGGAGTCGTATTGACTGGTGGACAAACTTGTTTAGCCATGCTGTAATAATTTATATCTGGATCAGGAGGGCAAATGATATCTAATGGCTTTAAGTTGGCACATGTAGAACTTCTGTTTATGACTTCAGCAAAAGTTCCGTTTAACCTGTGAAGTTCAATGATCAATTCACTCTGATAAAAAAGAGGTTGATCTTCTTGAGTGAACATTTGAAGGTTTGGATATGTAGACCACATTTGAACTTGGTTTTGTGTCCATAATAATTTTGTCTTTGGATGTTTAAAATATGGACGATGAATAATGGCAATGGTAACCATTTTCCCCAAATCCCATTGACTAGGATCATGATGCTGTCGAATCCTGCTTTTTTCAGCTTCAAGGTCTTCAATCCATTTTTGTATAGGTTCATACCATGACAGAAATTCCCATAATAATGAACCTTCATTTTCTGTATTCTGCAGAAAATTAATCATTTCCTGGGTAGGAAAGATTAATGGATATTGATGGAGTAAAGAGACGCTCCATAAATACCACATGTCATCTTCAAGAAATGTTTTCCCCAGTAAAATGCCAAAGATATTTAAAAAGGGTGTGTCTGGATTAAACCAGTTTGGTTTGGGTGGAATATGGTGTTTGTGTAGAGAGGATGCTAGATAAGAGAACATATGTTGTCTAGCAAAGTTTTGCAATGTTGCAGGAGAGACAGGGAAGTCTGGTGTGATTTCTGGAGGAAAATGGTTCTTCCAAGGATTAGGTTGAGAGGATGAGGATGATGGCTCATTCATTAAGATCATTGGATAAGTATAATCAGAAGATATTATACTTATATGTTGTTCAGGCTTTCTTGGTCTAGAGAGGTAGTCTGGAATGAAATTGTCTTTTCCTTTGATATGTTTGACTGTAAAATCATACCTAGAAAACCATTCTTTTAGCCTGAGTATTTGTGCATTGGGAGGAACCCTGTTCTTGAATTCTAACATTCGTGGGAATGTAGAATTATCCAGTTGGATTTCAAACTGATGTCCTCTGAGATGGAAATCAAATTTTTGAATTCCATGTTTGACTGCTAGAGTTTCTTTAAAGATGGTGTGGTAATGAAGTTTTGAATCTTTAAACTTTCCACTAGCAAATCCACAGAAAAACTGTTGTCCTTGGACATCTTCAATCAGAATTGCACCCCAATAATGATCACTTGTATCTGTTTGCAAAATTCTTTTTCCTTCACCTGGAATTTTTAGTGGAGGAGGATTTTGAGCAATCTTCTTCAAAGCTTTTACTGCCTATGTTTGGGCTGATCCCCATGGAGGGGGATTCTTTTTCAGTAGCTTTGATAATTGTGAAATGTGAGGAGCAATTTTGGGAATAAAATGTCTAACATAATTAATAATCCCCAAGAACTGTTGAACGTCTTTGACGGTCATATCCTTTTCTGGAAATTCTGGGAGTCTTTCTACAATGTGAGGTTGAGGAACGTATTTGCCATAAGCAAAATGCATACCAAGAAAATTAACCTCTTTGACTCCGATTTCAGATTTCTTTGATGAAAGTATGACTCCATACTGGTTACAGATTTGGTGAAACTGTTATAGGAGTTTTTTATGACTGTCTTCATTGGGAGAGAAAAGTAGGATGTCATCAATGTAGATCAAAGCACTATGCAAGATAGGTTCAAAGATTCGAACCATAGCCTTCTGAAATAATGAAGGAGCAACTTTCAGGCCAAATGGAAGGACTGTCCACTGGTAATGAGCATTTGGGATGCAGAAAGCTGTCTTTGGTCGATCTTTAGGATCTAGGCCAATCTTCCAGAATCCAGATTTGAGATCGAACTTTGAGAAATAATATGCATCTTTTATGTAGGCATGAAGTGAATATATCTTTGGAAGAGGAAATTTGTCATCCTTTAGAAACACATTCAAAGGTCTGTAATCGATCACAAGTCTCTTCTTGTTTCTAGCTTGTTCAGCTCTTTTTTTCACATAAAATGCCGTACATGCCCAGCTTGAGTTTGTGGGCTCGTTGAGTCCTTTTTCTAGCAATTGTTGACATTCTTCTTTGGCTGCCTGGTATTCACTTTGTGACATTCCAGGATGACTGGCTTTGGTTGGATTGATATCTTCATTCATCTTGAAAGGAAGTTGAACAAAGAATTCCTTTCTTGTCCACAAAGGTTGTGGATGTCTGAAAAGATCATGACTGTCAGCACATAGTTTCTTGATCTGATTTCCAATATCTTCAAATCCTGGAGGGAGTTCTGCTAGTGAGAACATATTTGAATTTTTGTAGAAAGGCTTGAATTCTCTTTTGTATTTTAATCCATAAGCAAGAATTTGCAACTTGGTACTCTGGACTAAAAGATCTCTGCCAATGAGAATATCTTTTCCATGAAAACTATCTCCAATTACCTTCATCCAAATTGTACAATCTAGAAAGAGTTTAATTCCAATTTTGGAGGATGTAACTAAGTCTGTCTGATAAGTCTTTCCATCTGCAGCTATGAATTTATGAACTTGAGTTGTTCATAAATTTGAAGGTAATATTGTAGGATTAAGCATCGTTCTGGATGCACCAGTATCAATAAATGCAATAACTTTGATAGGCACATTATACTTTGTTGGCAAGATGAATACTTCAACATTTGGTAATAATGGAATCTCCTTTTCCTTTTGAAAACATACCTCTTCTGTTTTCAGTATTGGAAAGTGGTTGCACTCATCATCAGTATAGTCAGAGTGTTCTGAGGGGCTATCACTTTCTCCTTCTAAGTGTGTGATGCCAAAGACAGTTAATTCATCTGGACTTTCTTGTTCATCGAACAAAGATTCTACATCTTCATCTTCCAGTTTGAGTGTGCTTATCAGCTTTGTGGCCTTCTTTTTGTTAGGACAATTTTTTGAGAAATGTCCCTTTTGTCCACAGATGAAGCATCTGCTGTTAGATCCTTTTCCTCTAAAGGGTTTTTTCTTGAAGAATTTGAATTTTTTCCTTCCCTTCTTCTTAAAGGATTTAAACTTCTTTTTCCTGCTGGATCTATCTTTGCAATGGCAATTTGAGTCTTTGCATTTGATTTGCAAATATCCCTTCTTGCACAATTGCTTGTATTTAGGTTGTTCATCGATCATCTTTTTGAACATTCTCTTCTGATTGCAGATTTTGTCCAAAGCAGCAATGCTAGTCTGATAGATTTCTCCCATAGTCATTAGGAGAACATCTTTGTTTGATTGTTGCAATATTCTCCATATTTCTTCTTGTAATTCTTCTGGAAGAGAACTGACATAAGTATTTTTTAAACTGGCATCATTCATGCCATTGAGCTGGTAGAATCTTTGGGACATTCTTTGATAGTGTCGATCAAGATCTTCTTTTTCTAGAGAGCAGCATCGCATCTCAAAATATTCTCTTCGTACAATTTGATCAAGAAGAGTCGATTCTCCAAGGAAGTGATATTGGAGTCCTCCAAGAAATTCATCAATAGAAGTCTTGTGAAGATTATCTTGATTTACTC